CCCTCCCCCGCCGACACCCCTCACATGCGGCCCACCCGCATTCCACCCGCCACTCCCCCTCCCCCACACCGAGCCCAACACGCCCCTGGGGCCTCTAGGATCTGACCACACACCATCCACAGCCGCCGGCGGCGGCATCAAGTGGCGACTCAACCTCGACTCGGCACTCGGCTTCGATCTTACCACTCCGCCCGTGTCGCCCATCATCCCCCACGACGGCAGCAGCGGCCATCACGGAGGCGGCGGTGCGTTCAAGAGCACCGTCTTCCCGACCACGCCGTCCCACGCCACTCCCGTGAGCCAGATATCGACCTGTGACAGCGAGACGGCCGCGGTGGCCCGGCTGCCGTCTGTTGACGAGACGGCGGAGCTGCGCAGCGAGGCGGGGAGGAACCTGCTGCGAGTCCTCAAGGAGAGCGAGTCCCCCGAGGGCGGCCGACAGGGTGAGGGCGACAGTGGTGAGATGGAGGAGACGCAGGAGGAGAGCTACGATGCCAACCAGACGACCGACTCGCCATCCGCGAGCACCGTGGCGGCGTCATGCACCGAGAGCACCCCGATGGTGGCCAAGGGAGGGCAGTCACAGTCGCAGGAGGGCTCCACCCGCTCATCACCAGCCAGCGGTGACCGCGAGCCCCACCAGCTGCCCATCGCACACGCACCGCCGCCCCCTTACCCTCCGCCTCACATCCTCCCCAGGCCCGGCAATGACAACCAGCCGACCCAGACCCAGACGCAGACACAGACACAGCACAACAACACCAACAGTGCGAGCAACAGCAACCCACAGCAGAAAACAGGCGGCAGCGGGGGCCGTGGCGTGTGGGTGCCCAAGAAGAAGGAAGCAGGGAGCGAGGAGCAGTGGGGTGGGGCTGAGGGCGGCAATGGCGAGGAGGGTGGCCACACCACTGCCACCCCGATGGAAGGCGTCACCCAGCCCCACACCAGCACGACCAACGAGACCCCTCCCCGCCCGCCCCCGTTGGTGGTGCCTTCCCTTCCCCACCTCACCCACACCACCAGCAACGATCCCAACGCTTTCAACGCTCCGGGCGTCCACGCCGCGATGGCCAACGGCATGTTCGTCACCCCACACCACCCACACATGGCCGCCGCCACCCCGTTCGGCAGCGCCGTGGACCTGTGCTCGCCCTACGGGCTGGCCGGGACGTGGCTGTGCGAGGAGTACCCCTCGCCCCTGCCGGCCTTCGATGCGGCCTACCTCGGGGACTTTAGCAGTAGCGTGGCGCGGCTGTGCAGCCTGGAGGCACTGAACCAGCTGGCGCACAGCCCCACTGCCATGATCGATGCCGTGTCGTGGACGGCGGCCTCCACCGATGACCTCGAGGCCAAACTCAGGGCGGCCGCGCCACAGATCTACGAGGACTGACTCACTGACTGACTCATGCCGAGTGGATGAATGAATTGGCGAGCAGGGAGGGAGGGAGGGAGGGAGGGGGGAGAGGGGG